ATGGCACCGTTGCCGTTGGAAGTCTATTCCTGATTGCTGATTTTTGAATTAATTCAACCCTAATCACCTCCTAACGGCTAATTAACATCTTCCACTATAAATATAGGCCTAATACTTCATATTTCAACAAAAAACAAAGCTCCAAACATCCTCCCTTAATATTCTAAGTGTGTTCATTCTTTTATTCATTATTTTCAATATTTTGGCTATTTCAAAAGCCTTAAATTCCTGAATTTTATACACACACTTTGAGATTGTGTTTCTAGTTATATACTCTCATATTCATAAGTTTATATTGTATTTTTGAGAGAGTATATTTTCCTTCTACATCGGCTAAGTTTTGTTCTTCATTTTTATATTCTAGCCGTTGTGTAGAATCCTCTTTTGTGTTCTTCAAACGCACATTGTAATGGTCGAGAATAGCCATTAAATTCTCACATTGTAACGGTCAAGGATAGCCGTATAAACCTTGGGTAAAGGTTCAAGGATATCCTTTGAAATCCTTGGGGGAACGGTAGAAGATAGCCGTAAAATCTTCATTGTAAACGGTTCGAGATAGCCGTTGTGAAATCTCGGAGTGAATCCTATTGGCAAGGGTTGTTTGCCAAACTTGTGCGATGCTTTGACGGAGTTCAAGAGACCGGAACTTAGTGGATTCGGAAATCCTTGAGGAGGAGCCTCGAGGTACTGGAGTAGGGAGTTCCCGAACCAGTATAAAATCGGTGTGTCTTTTACTTAATGCTTTTATTTCTGCGTTTTATTTATTTCTTCTGCATTTGCGAACACCGTTTTTATCAAACTCCGAAAAATTTTCAAACGCCTTATTCATCCCCCCTCTAAGGCGTGGGCACACCGACTAAAACCGACTAACACGATCTATTCTATGGCGAGCGACTCCCGTTGGTTGTACCTCTTCGAATGAGTTGAACATAGTTCAACGAAATGAGTTGAACATAGTTTAATGAATTCTCTTTCATACCATTCAATGATTATATATTCTAGGAGAAGGCTTTCTACGGGATCCCTACAGTCGAGTTACTGCGTACCTCGTAGAATTACCAGCCTGTCTACTGATGTAGACTATGTTCAATATTTTTCATTATCATTTCCTAATGCTTGTAATTCTTTTTACACACATAAGTTCAATATATGACATGCACAATGTATTGTCTTGAAATCGGACCTAAGTCATTTAGTTATTTAGAATAATTATTGAAGCTTATACGCAAATTATATCCTACAACCGGCTGTACGAGAAAAGCCGTACAACCGGCATAAATTAGTAGAGATCAGATCAGATTGGGAGTTGAGAACCGATTTCAGCTTCCCGTCCGCGAAGCGTCACTTTCAGGCGAGGGCTCTCCGTACCCCGTCAGCCGTGCATCCAGGTGCTCTGTTTGATTCCCTCGCAACTATGCTATATCAAAGACCATAGCTTCGTCCTCCCTCCTCGCGTCGAGCGCCGATCGAAGAAGAATATAGTCTTACATTGTCTTCCGTTCGACTCTCTTCAAAGAAGAATACAGTCTTACGTTGTCTTCGCTTCCCGTCCCTGATCGAGCCTAAATCGAAGAAGACCTCCCATCTCGGTCTCTCAAATCTGATTCAATTAAAACAACTTTTTCAGACTTTACTTAAGAATGAGTGTTTCCTTATTTGAGATTGAGTACTTGATAAGTCGGGTTTGGTTTGGTTCTTTTTATTCTTTTTTAGGAATTTTTAATAATTTTAGATTTTAATTTTTAGTTTTTTAGCTTAGTTTTATTTTAATTCTTATTTTTACAATCTTTTAATTTTCTTTCAAAAAATAGTAGTTTTTTAATCATTTTTTTTACATTTTATTATTATTATTATTATTATTATTATTATTATTATTATTATTATTATTTCCTAACCCAAGTTATCAGATATCTTAGTTTTTAGAGAAAAATGTAGTAGAAGGCCAAAAATGAAATTCAAGTTTGAAAGGAAGAAACCAAAAATGAGGTCAAGTTGAGATAAAGCCCAAATCTCACACAAAATTTAGCCCAAGTCAAGGAGCCTAACCCAAGATTATTGTCGAAAAAAGAAAAAATGCAGCGTTAATGTCCAGTTCAAACTCACACCTGCGGAACAACAACAAAAGTCAGCGGCTATTCTCCTTCATCGCGTCATAGGCGGACCAGCGTTCGACGTTAAATCACATTCCTCATTCAACTCGCCAATCAATTCTCCAACGGGAAGTAATTCAAGGGTAAATTACTCCTTGCTATAAATTAGAGCAACATCAACTCAACGAAGGGGGATAACAGAGGGAGATTCACACGGAATAAAGAGCCACGGCTTAGGCCGTGGCGACGATGGAGTCCGGCCATGGCAATGGAGGCGGCGGCCGGCGGCACCTCCGGCGAGCGGCGGCCAACTGTGGTTCCAACAGCTCCCATTCTTCACCTTTCATCTTCTTCTTCAACAATTGGTAACCTTTATTTGTCAATTTCTTTTTCTTCTCCAATTTCTTTGTAAAAGTGTTATTTCAATTCAAATTTACACCTTTTTTTCCTTGTGTGAATTTCGAAAATTCCAAAATATGGTTGGTGTTTTTTTTGGGTTTATGTTTTTGAATGTTTGTATTAAATCCTTTATAAATGAGAATTGATTCATATTAGTTTTTTTCATTTTTGTGCAAATTGTTGTTGAATTGGTTGAATCGCATAATTTGATTTCATAAGTAGGTTGGTATGTAAAATTCGGTTTTGATTGAAGCTATTTTAGCTCCATATCATAGTTAAATGATTTCCGAATTCATACATGATTCTTCGTTTTGCTATGTGTTTTGTAAAATTTTAAGGATTATGGACTTCTTAGCCCCGTAAGTTGAACGTTTTCTTTAAGATTTATTATTGAGTGATTGTTATGTCGTGTGTTGTTTGTTTTATGTTATTTTCATAATATTTGAGGTTGTTTAAGCACAAAAAGAATTTTTAAGTTTTTAAAAATATGTAATGTTTTCTTATGTGAATATACTATAATTCTTATGCTTGAGTTTTTCAAGGAGACCTGCAAAATATTTTATCATTAGACGTTAAAGTTTATTAAAGTGTATAAAATGTTTTTCGTGAATAATTATGAATGGGAGCTAGAATTAAAGAAATTAAAAATTTGCTCTTTTATAAATTTTTTCTTCTTTTGGAATCATTGTTTGAGCGTTTGAGGTGAGTTGGGGTTCAAAGTGATCCAAAAGGCCTTTGAATTACATGACTCCGGGTCTTATAGAGAGTTGATGATCCTCTATATATGGTCAAGGATATGATTTAACTCGAGTTTTTGAATTATTTTCTATTTTTAAGTGCATAAGTTACGTAATATATTGTTTACGTGCCTATTATATGTGTAATGTTCGACTTGTGTTTGTTCTCTTTTTCATTTTGTTTTGGGTTTTTGGCGGCATTTCTTGAGTTACCTTAGTTGAAGAAGTTGAATCTTTTGAGCTTGTTTCCCCCATTTTTATCAAAAAACCAAAAAAATAAGAAAATAAAAATAACCAAAAAAATATTTAGTTTTCATTCAACACCCCCCCCCCCCTTGTGTTATAGTTTATAATACAAGCTTTAGTATAAGTGTTTGTTTCTAAGTTATAAATATAAGTTTTTATACTTTTTTTAGTATATCTTATATATGTGTTTTGTTTTTATAAGTTATATTATAAGTTCAGTGTTTATATAAGTTTTTATGTTTATTTGAATAAGTTTTATTATAAGTGTTGGAGTTGTGCCCTGATGGCCAACTGTTTGTCGTTATTCTATCATGTATAGGCAGATATAATATGTTTACACATCTCATGCTAATGTAAACAAATATTATATTTCTAGATTTATATTTAAAAGATGTTTATCAGATAGTGTTTTTCTGCTGATGAGACTAACATCTTGAAATAAATATTTATCTAAATGTCCATAGTCGAGTATTAACGAGAGTGGGATATCGTTAATGCATGTGAGACTAGTGTGTGTTGGATGTTTGACTTAGTCTCATAGTCAATGACGGTGTGTTCGCATCCGCACATGGGCAGATATTATCTAGAGATAATAGGATGCCGGACTGACCCATCCTAAAGATGTTGCTTGAACTTTTAGTTCATGCTCTAAGCATCTTTAGCGCGACCACGGGTGTAACTATCCTTCGACTTGAAGTATTACGTTTTCTGCATATGTGAACCCGCATACTTTGATGCATTGTCCTAAGCCATATGAAATAAGGATGGTATACAGGCTTTGTTTTGGGTATGCCGCAACGCATATTCAGAAACGTAGATTACGTACATAGGATTTGTCACTACTCTTTTTAAGAAATTAATGTCTTATGGGGCCCACTGATAAGTTATGATTGAGGAAATTGCATGGCCATGCTGAGATGTTTTTATGACGTCTGTTCCTATCAGTCAGACTTGATAAATCAG